CAACGTTGCTTGACTCTCATTAGCCTAATTTAGTCATACTTTTAATTTGTTGAATTTGAGAGTCCGAATACAATTATTAATTATTGTTTATAAGCAGAATTACCAATTAACAATTTCATAAATGGAGTTATTAATTTTCAGAATATACATATATGGAAGGGGAGAGATTGGGGGCAACGAATTATGTAGTCAGAAATTTCGCTTTAAACAATTCTACTGGTTGAATTACTCGTCAATCAAGTTAATCGGATTTCGATCGAAGCCGTCCTTAAAGAGACCAGTCAGAAGACCGCCCCATACGCATACGTAACACGTTATACACTTCATTATGTATATCGCTATGTATACATAGTATAAAATTAACATTATAGGAGATATTCAGAATCCTTTGGCAAGCTTCCACAACGTCCGAAAACCGCTCGCGATTCCTGCGACAAGCGATTGAGGGAAGTTAATATGTGAAAAAAGTAAGTGACGGTAATAAACGCAGACGATGCAAGAAACATCCCCTTCGACGAGAAGCTGCTCTGGAAGCTTGTCAATAAAGCTTTGAAACATCCTATGTAAAATATATATATATATATATATATATGTGTATATATATGTATATACATGCATACGCATATCGGAAATTATATGTACATGGTTCATTGAGAAACTACTTGAGAAAAGTCGGAGCAAAAGTCGGAATGGTCGAACCACAGAGATCCACTTTTTCTCCCGATATCGTAATACAATATATCTCTATAGTACCTGTATCGTAATAGTATTTTGTTATTCCGGAATCCTGGCAGAGCAAAGAGTATTAAATCTGACCGCGTGAGCCGTTGTTCTCTCATCGCTTTAGAATATTGCTTCTGAATACGACATTGCGGTGTGAATGCGACTTCAGATTTTCCTCCCCTCTTACAGTCTATATTATACAAACATCGTTCGCGTGAATATACAAATAAATCAATAAATAAATATGTTCATTTAAAGGGCGGTTAACGCATTCGAATGCGGAGTCACGAACGTAGATTGTCAATTTAAATGCTGAATAACAATCGATAACGTTAATATAATTTGTGATAAATATATAAAAATAATGTATATATATTTTTATAGAAATATGTAAAAATAAAATACTTTGGAAGATACGGAGATGAAATAAACTTCGTGTAACGCGATATCTGGAGCTTGAAAAATCGAGAGGCATAAAGATCTTATTAAAATTTTCATCGACATCAGAACAATCCCACGTGCGAAAAAGGCAGTATATAATTTGTTCAAGTTCCGCCGCGGATTAAATTCTTATGCGGCGGAGTATTCATTTTATACTATTCTACGAACCCTGCCCTGTTATCTTCATTAGTAGCTACACTTTATACTTCAACATCGTTCAATTAATCTCGTTATCCATATAATTCTGAAATATATGATCTTATTCGTAAACTTTTGTTCTCGGCTCTAATCTATAATTATATATATATATATATATATCTCTTTCTATCTTTTGTTAGAATAACCCACGAGAGATACGCGATTCGTTCTCTCTCTCTCTCTCTCTCTCTCTCTCTCTCTCTCTGTCTCTCTATCTTCTAGTTTCTAAAATAATTATATCACTATACGTGAGAACGCCCGAGTTAGTGCATCGTCAGGTAATAATAGCGTTTGAAAGGTAGATTTTGCCCGAATGCCACGTAGCTTTACGGGATTTACTTTCTGTTCATCGAAACATGCTTAAAACTACACCTAAGGTCCACCTCTACCAATGTAGATTAACTTTAATCTCGGTTTAACTCAGCAAACAAAACTGTTAATAACATAATTGTTAAATTTAATGAGAGAAAGGATTCCACAAATTTAAACTAATAAAAATAATAATAACAGCTGTGGGAGTCAACGCAGTTATTAGTGCGATTATCTTATATTTATTTAGTTTATTACATAAACCTTGATTTGATTTCGACGAGCACAATACAATAGAAATATAATTGTTAATTATAATTTCCCAATCAACAATATAACTGTTAATATAACATATAACAGTTATGTAACGTGTAAAAGTTACATATATTATATATTGTTGAGTGAGAAATTATATAACAGTTATGTTACCATTAATTGATGTTTTGCTGGGAATTTAGTTTTTATCTTTTTCTAATTCTTAGAACTAGAAAAAGATAAAAAGTAAGTTAAACCGAGATTAAAGTCAATCTACAGATTTCTGGTAAAACTGGACATACGTCGTGAGATTCGCACGTGCGTGTATGTGTGTGTGTTGTGTACATAAAGGTAACACAGCGCGTAATTGTAATTAAATACATACATGCCCGTTTCTGCCAATGTACAGTAATTTTAATCTTGGTTCAACTTGCTCTTCATCTTTTTCTAATGTCCTTTTCTACCAACGTAGATTAACTTTAATCTCCATTCAACTTTACTCTTCATTCTTTTTTTATTCTTAGAACTAGAAAAAGATGAAGAATTTAATTAAACCAAGATTACAATTAAACTACATTGGCAGAAACAAACGTAATTCTTAGAAAAAAAAGGTGAAGAGTTAGTTGAACCGAGATTAAAATTAAATTATTACATTAGTGGAATTGGGTCAAAGAGGACTATCACAAATAAGTACCATATATCACTAAGCAATATCTAAGTATATCTCGCGAACAGAAGACATTCGATGAATAGATCCTTTTTAGACTCGACTCGAGTCTATGCAGGCTGACACGAGGACGAACGCGAGGTCGTGTCCTCGGAGGAGGAAAAACGAATGAGGCAAGGAAGAAGCATGTGGTGGAGTTCCGAGGAACCTGGTTACCGCTGCATGATTATGGCACTATGGGGGAGAATGAGTTGAGTAGAGTAGTCATTGGACGGTGAAGCACAGAATTAGCATCGCTAGACAGTCGTTTCCCGGTCCACGTGAATGTACTCCACGAAACCGGGCGGCTGTTGTCAGGATGCCGCTCCCAGAAGCGTCTCCTCGGTCGGTGCACGTCGCGGCTTCTTGCTCTTCTTCGAACCTTTGTAGTGAAGTCTCTTTGTACGAGCTTTGGATCTAGAAGAGACAAGACGTAAGATGAAGGAGAGAGTGTTCTATATTTGGTTGGCGTATAAATACGTTATGTTTCCGTGATTATATTCACACTAGATTAAAATTTGACCGCTTCCATATATTTCCAACGTTATATAAAATTCAAGGTGTCGCACCTAACAAATATGTAATTACATATTCTTTTTGAAAAGTAATTATGCTTTCTTTACAGCATTTATTCTGTGTATAAAATTATTAAGATATAAGGCCTGTTCTTTTTAGCTGAATCGCTTTCATCTTTCTTCGTTTTCTCTCCACGCTGGAAAAAAAAGAAAAGGTAAACTGTGCAAGAACTTTAGCTAAAAAGAACATATCTACAGTTAAATGTGTGTGAATAGAGATATTTATATTTATATGTCAAAATGTGTGTGTGTGTGCTATGCAGAATAAAGTGTAAAATATCTCGTAAACTATTGATTTTTTATATTTCTACCTTAATACTTTTATATGCAGAAAAATAAGAGAAATCATATTATGTAAAAAATCATAATTCTATTTAATGGCGATTTTTTTAAATGGTCGTTTAATGAAATTAAACAGCCATTTTTTTAAAAAGACAATTATTTTCATATGACGTTAAAAAATTGATTTTTCAAAAATTAATTTTACCATTATTTCTCCTCCTTTAAACCATACAACTTTATCTGAATATATTTTTTATTCGTCCTTACGCTGCAAAGATAAATATATAAAAAATCATATATTAAGTGGGACACTCAGTAAATAAGTTGTATGATAATTTTGTTAGTTTCTAGAATTAAAAAATCTGGAAAAACGCAAGGATTGGAACTTAATAACTCCAGCAGCCAAAGATGAACCTAGTCTTTTAGTCTCAATCAACGAAGAATACAATAGAGAGCAGTAATAATCTTTACATCGCTAAGTAATGAAGATTTACTTGTTTTAAATTTACTCTGCAGCTACTTAGAAGTTTAACAAGCCTAGCAGCTAAAGATGAGCCCAGCCTTTTAGTTTCAATCAACGAAGAGTACAATAGAGAACAGTAATAATCTTTACATCGCTAAGTAATGAAGACTCATTTGCTTCAACTCTATTCTGCAGCTACTACGTAATAACTTTATTGTTCAGTATTGATAATGACTAATGGGATCTAAGGGATTAATACTTTTCCTTACTTTTCAGACTTCGAGTTACCTGCTAATAAGAATAGTGAATAGGCACGCGAAGGCAGTGACAATTCCAGCGACGCCGGCGACGACGAGCCATATGGTGGGCGGGAGCAGTCCGAGCAATCGTGCGCCGTTCCCGCAGTTGGCCTCGTCGTGACCGGACGGGCAGTGCGCGTGGCCGTCGCACCAGAGACTGGCGGCGATGCACGCACCCAGCTCGGGGCACTTGTGCGGGCAGTCGCCGATGTACGACGGCATACCGTTCGTCTCGTTCTCGATCACTCCGCCAGGGATTCTCTCCGGGAGACGCAGCTGCCGGCGTAGCGCCGCGCGACTCTTAGAGATCTCCAGCCAGGAGGCGGCCGCCTGGCCGGATTCCCGCGCTACAAAGTCCAGCAATAATGCGGGTGGCCTCGGTGGACCCGGCCACTTACCCTCCTCTGTCGGGCCCAACCATTCCTGCGAGAACACGTGCACGGTGAACTCGCGGGCACCCGGTTCCGCCGGGCACACCACCTTCAGCAACTTCGGCGGCCAGCCAGAATAGAGAAGGATGCGATTGGTGGTCGGACACTTGATCTGATCGCCGCTGATGCCGCTGCCGGTACCGCTGACGCCGCCAGACGTCTCGGGACCGGCGAGCGGCGGTGGTTCCAACGGTAGAAACCAGCCCCAGGTCAGGACAAAGAGTGACCGGTTCTCGTGCGCCTCCACCAGCCACGGGAGACCTTCGCAATAGATGTCCGGTCTCGACAGCGGGGGATTGACGAATCTCAGTTCGCCACCCTCACCACGGATACGCTGCTTCCTCGGACACTCCGGCACGCGAATGAGCTCGAAGCTGGCGTAGAAAAAGAGTGTCTCAAAGTCCTCGTGGGGCGCTTGCTGGTCCACCAAGAAAGTTATCTCTAGCGCACGACCGGAGGTAATGTATGTAAGCGGCAAGTGTGACGTATTGTCGCATAGACACGTTCGGGGTAACTTCACATCTCGCCACGGCGACTCATAAATGACCAGACGCGCTTCCCTGGATCCCACTTCCTGAACGCAGCGCGGTTTACCAGTGTGTGGGTCTGAATCGCTCGTGCACATGGTGGACTCGCCCAGACTGACGTTATGCAACGTCAAACGGACTCGCTCTCCGCTCCCAGCTTCCACACGATACCTGCATAGACGAGAGACATGGTAATCAAAGTCAATACATATTCATGATTCCCAGTCAAATCAACTCAGATTGCATAGACGAGGGAGAAAGCTACTATGGCGCTAGAATCTTGGATTCGTGTTTGCTTAGAAACCCTTTGTTTTTCTAGCGACTGTCAGTTGATTGCTACTTGTGAGAAATTTGATCCCGTCTTTACCTGCAATCCAACTTGCTGGCACCACCCCGGCCAAATAGACGTACGTCGCGCGGTGACATTATTTCGCCGACGTGCACCTTGCGCCATATTCGACTGCAAACACCATCGCCCCAGGGCTCGCCGGTTTGAACGGTGGAGACGAACTCGTATCGCGCCTGGAAGGAGCAAGGGAATCAGCAAACTATATGAATTCAGTGTATTGACTTTACTCTTATTAATACATTTTGGTAAACAGAGTTTTATTTAAACTTCCAATCCGGTCGAAATTTTTCACAGAAATATTTATACTAAATGAAATACTTCTGAAAAATACTGAGAAGTCTACATTACCCCAATTGATACAATAATAAAAAATAATGTCATATCAGTGTTACAATTTCGCACTTGATTCAACAGTTATGTAATACCATATGTTATTACATTTTTTTTATATTGTTGAAACATTGATCAAATTAATTACACGTTATATTGTTGAGTGTAAAATTATATCTAATATTAATGTCATGTTACTTTTAACAAATCTGGTCAAAAAATAACATCGGTTTTCTGTATTATTATTAAGAACAGCTGTAACTTCATTAAAAAAATAATCAAAATTTTAATTTAAAAAAAGAGTTTTAAAGCCTGAAAAATCTCTCTATTTTTTAATAGTTATTATATTTTTTGAGTTTATGTGAATTTGGTAATATATATTTTTACATGTAGAAAACTATTAGGTGTACAACTTTGCTTTCGCCGTTTCCTATAGATGGCTTTAGCGGTAAGTGGTGGTCGAAATAAATAGATCATAGACGTCATACAATAAACTTGGGCATCTATCAACATAACCCCATAGAAACATTAGTCGATTTGTATCTGCATCATAAAGTTATTCTTGATTGAAAATGTCAGTTTACGAGCCAAATTCTTGTCATTTGCGGGAAGTTTTAATTTTCTGCTTCAATATGAAGAAATCTGCGGCTAAGGCTCATCAAATGCTCTCAAATATTTATAGTAAGGCCGCTATTAGTGAAAGAACGTGTCGTGAGTGGTTTCAACGCTTCAAGAACGGTGATTTTGACGTCGAAGACCGGCATAGCGGTGGAAGAGAGAAGGTTTTCGAAGATGCAGAATTGGAGGCATTACTTGATCAAGACTCGTATCAAAATCAAGAAGAATTGACACGATTGAGAGTGACTCAACAAGCCATTTCAAAACGTCTCAAAGCCATGGGAATGATTCAGAAGCAATGAAATTGAGTGCCGTACGAGTTGAAGTCGAGAGATGTTGAACGGCGTTTGTTTGCTTGTGAACAGCTGCTTGAAAGGCAAAGACGGAAGGGATTTCTGCATCGCATTGTGACTGGGGACGAAAAATGGGTTCATTACGATAACCCTAAGCGCAGAAAATCATGGGGAGTTCCCAGCCATGCTTCCACGTCGACGACCAAACCGAATATTCACGGCTCCAAGGTCATGTTCTGTATTTGGTGGGACCAGCTCGGCGTAGTGTATTGGCTGCGTTCCACTTAACGCTCGCAACGCTCGCAAGCATTGTTTGTCCTTGTTTAATATTTGATAAACAACAAGGATAAAATGATTCCACGAGCGTCGCGGGCGTTAAGTGGAATGCACCCATTATGAGCTGTTAAAACCGACTAAAGCAATCACAGGCGATCGGTATCGAACGCAATTGATGCGTTTGAGCCAAGCATTGAAAGACAAACGGCCGTAATACAACGAGAGACACGATAAAGTAATTTTGCAGTATGACAATGCTCGACCCTATGTTGCGAAAGTGGTCAAGACATACTTGGAAACGTTGAAATGGAAAGTACCCCACCCGCCATATTCTCCAGACGTTGCTCTCTCTGACTATCACTTGTTTCGATCAATGGCACACGGCCTGGCTGACCAGCACTTCCGGTCTTATGAAGAAGTAAAAAATTGGATCGATTCGTGGATTGCCTCAAAAGATGATCAGTTTTTTCGACACGGGATTCGTATACTGCCCGAAAGATGGGAGAAAGTAGTGGCCAGCGATGGATACTTTGAATCATAAATGTATAACCAGTTTTTTACAATACAGCCTCAAAATTCGGAAAAAAACGGCGGAAGCAAAGTTGTACACCTAATACCAGCTGAAATAAATGAAAAAATTTTTTCTTACTTTATAGGTCCGTCACGTGCCCAAAAAAAATTGAGAAAATTGTTTAATATCTAACGTGAAAGTTTGAAGTTTTCCCTACAAAATCTTTTTTAATTATGTTCCTACGAGTTTTTGTTCTTAAGTTACTCGCGGATTAAGTAAAAGGAGCATTCTGACTTTGACTGCTCATAACTCCGTTAAAAATCATTATATCGCAATAAAAAAATATAGATTCTTAAGCTGAAACTTGCTCTGTCAAATGGTATAATCGCAAATATTGTACAATACATTGAAAAAGGAAATCACCATTTTATAATATGGAAAACCAATATTATTTTTCTACCGACCTAATAATTGTAAGAAATTTTCTAAAACGAACGTTATAAAATTATTTAGAAATTTTGAAAAATTCTGTTTATATAAAAATTCCGAGAAAATATATGAAAAACTGAGAAAAATTTTCACAAGGAAGGAAGGCTCTTATAGAGAAAAAACAATAGATTGAATCGAACTATCTAATCAAGCATCTAATTAAACCAAAGACAACGATTACGTTTGCATCATGCACTTAGGTCCCGATCTATACCCTAATTCAACCTTTAATTATTTAGGCTCATTGCTATAAACACTTGGTGACCTGACCTGGCTTTAGGTCATGTCTTTTTAGTGACCTGATCTAAAATAGGCCACTTGTTACAAACGCGCATTACCCGACCTAATTTTGTAAGACTTTACTAAAACTGTTAATTTTCTCGCTGAGATAATGGCACACAACAACTGAGGGCGTAAACGGCGCTTACGGTAGAAACAGTTAGTGGCTAGATACAGGGCGTGTATAGGTCTCGGTGTAAATGTAGCCAATAGGAATCCAAGCAGAACAAGTCACGATAATGTGAAAATGACATTAAAATGAATCGGAAATTATTGGAAAATGATTTTTAATGATTTTGGAGTCATTTTGATATCTCATTTTGATATCATATAATGACTTGTGGTTCTGCTTGGAGAGACTTCAAGAAGTCCAGATAGATCCCTGATAATAAAAAAAAAATCATGTCACAACGTTACATCATGAAATCATGTAATTAAAACATGTAAATCACGTAACGGATTGTTCCAAATCAGTACATGATTTTTTTTTAATGATGAAATTTGAAAAAATCACATGATATTAGAAATAATTTTATCTATCATGTAATTTTATAATTATTGAATTTTAAAGAATTGAATGAATGATAGAAATAGAAGAAAAAAAGAATATATCATCATGTAACTTTTCAAAATAATAATTTTGAATTTAATTTTAAAATCCTCTGTATTGATTTGGAACAATTCATTACGTAATTTACATGTTTTAATTACATGATTTCATCATGCAACTGTGTGATTTTTTTCAGTAGGGATACAGCATCCTATAGATAGATGAGTATACTCACGTGGAAATTAATCGGATGAAGAGCGGTACCCAGAACAGTTTCCATGCGCAGCGTCAGGCTCGGTGCGGTCGTCAGGTAGCTCTCCTCCTCGGTACACGGCCTGGTGCTCCTGGTGACATTCCGAAGAGCCGCATGGGCGCACAATTTGGGCGTATCATCGCACAGTGTGGCCATCGGCTGACCTGTATTCGGCGCGCCGTCCCAGAAGACGAGTTTAACCGCGCACACTGACGCTGCGGAGATGTCCGGGGTCAACTGTCCGGCGGTCGCGTTGTTGTTCTCGCCGTTACCAGTGAGATCACGCTGGGAATACGATGAGAAGTATATCCACACACGATCGCCGATCGCACCCTTGATGTTCCACGTGCAGCTGGAGCCGGGAGGTAGCGCGTGAAGAGGTGCGCGTATCGTACCGCTGCGCTTACTACCGACGCCGGTACCGTTGACGAAAAAGTGGCAGCCTTGCGGACCCTTGGCGTAATCCAGACCGTCCGAGTCGACGTAGATCACACGTAGCTCGAGCTCGAGTCGCAAGGACGACGCGCCCAGCGGTATCGCGACCGGCGAGCTGCGGAACTCCACCTGCATGGCGGGTCCACGTGCGGTCACCTGCGGCAGTGGACCTCCGCAATAGACCAAGAGGACCGGGTCTTCTGTCCGCGCACCGTCGCGGAAGATCAGACGGTCCCGGTCCGGAGAACAGTCCTGCCAGACACTGAGGCTGGTGTTGACAGTGGCGCTGAGACCAACTGGACCGGTAGGTGTGCTCTTGACGGATATCATGGCATGCTTGCACGTGGGCACTTCCTTCTGACGCACGGTAATCAGGCAACTTGCGTTGCGCGGATACTCGCCAGGATAGTTCGGACTCTGCAGCCGGCATTGCTTCAGGTGACATTCGTAGAAGTTACGGGAACAGTAGGTGCCCGGCACTGGAGAACCCCGCTCGATTGGCAGTTCCGGTTTGCCCAGTCGGGCGACCGCTTCATTACGCGCGACGAAGCGATAACGGAGACGAAACTCGAAAGGCACCGCGGACGGTGCGTGGAACAGTCGTATAGAGGCAGTGACCGTACTGGTTTCACTAATCAAACATTAATCAAATCAATTATTAATGATATTATTAAAGATAATTATTAATCATTAACTCGGCGTTACCCAGATGGAAATACATATATATGAAATTTATAATATCCCAGAAAAAACATTTCAACAGAGGTCTTGTAGACATCTAAAAGATATCTCTTTAAAGATATCTTCAAGACATTTCTGGAAGATATCTAAAAGGTGTCTAAAAAGATTTTATTAAAGATATCTTTGTAGAACTTCTAAAAGATATCTATAGACATCTTAAAAATATGCTTTCTCTTGAAAGATATCTATTAGACATATGTCTAATATATTAGGTGTTAAACTTAATTCCTGCCGTTTTTCGTCTCCAAAATTGATTTGTTTCGAAGGGAAATATCTTAATCAAAGTACTATTAATAAAGTATTATTAATTAGTAATAAAGTAGAAAATGGAGGAAATTACTTTGATTAAGGTATTCATTCATCTTCCTTTCGAAACAAATCAATTTTGGAGACGACAAACCGGCAGGAATTAAGTTTAACACCTAATCTATATCTATATCTGTTAATAAATCAAACTAATCAAGACTCCTTACAAATCAAAGAATTGGAAAGAGTAAGGGCACTAGGAGTCGGGCGCAGAAGACGTTGCGCAAATAATACACTTATAAAGAGTGAAACTTCTTTATTCACTAAACGCGCTTACATGTTTCAACTCATTTTTGGACCTTCCTCAGAGCAAACACACATTAACATATATAAAATAAAATTATCCTATCATGGTGAGCTCCCCTACATCGAGAATTTAATGTCAGAATTAAATGAAAAGAAAGAAAAGAAAA